TTTCAGTAGTTAGCCACTAAGCTCCAGCCGTCCTGTGGAAAATAATGCTCTTTGTCACAAATCACATCTTTGCTGTAAACTGCCCATGCAAAGAAGTCAGACATGATGGTACATGCCTGTGATGCCAGTACTCAGGAGGCAGAGGCAGGAAGATAGAGAGTTGAGACCAACCTGGGCTACAGTGAGACCGTGTATCAAAAACCAAAAAGACAAACAAAAAACAACTTTTGGTGCTCCCGGAAATCCAGCTTTTGAGATACTCTCCCTGTCCAACTGTCAAAGCCACAAGTAGATCTCAAACTCCCTCTGTACCAACACAGGGCAACCCATGTAACTAGGCCAGTGGCGGGGAAAAGACATACAGCGACTGAATAATAATTTTACAGGGAATCATCTTGCTTATATAGGTGTGATTTCCCACAGCTCTTTTTTATCCTAAACTAGAATTCTATTAATAAAAATGTCTCCAAAAGAAAAAAAATTTAAAAGAAAAAAAAGAGACTATTTTCAAAGTATAATTAAAAACATTCATCTCAGCTGGGCGGTGGTGGAGCACACCTTTAATCCCAGCACTCAGGAGGCAGATGCAGGCGGATCTTTGTGAGTTCGAAACCAGCCTGGCCTACAAGAGCTAATTCCAGAACAGCCTCCAAAGCCACAGAGAAACCCTGTCTTGAAAAACCAAAAAGAAAACAAACAAAAATCCCAGCACTTGAGAAGCAGATGCTGGAAAATTACAATTTCAAAATCATCCTCAGCTAAACAGAAGTTTTAATTAAAGTCAGTCTGGGCTACACTTTACAAAAGACTACCCAACAAATAAGCAAACCAAAAAGGAGCCTGAGAAAAATTAATTTTTAATATATAACCCACGAAGTCCCAAAAAAGTTTGTGGCACATCATTTCATATAGGTAAGAGAAATCCTGTGATAGTTATCTTCATTGCCAGCTTGATTGATTGGATTTAAAAATCAAACACCTAGGAAATTAATAAGATATTAATAAGCCCAGCTAAAGGAACACCAGCAACCCCCTTTTTAGGCTCCCTAGCTGCCACGAAGTGAATGGTTCTGCCCTACCAAATGCCCGGCTTCTGGATGGATTGAACCCAAACTGTGTACCAAAACAAATTTTTCTTTCCATGAGTTTCTTCTAGCAGGTACTGTGGTTGCAGAGATGAAAAAACAAACCCTGTTCTGTGTTCTTTCTGTCCACTGACCACACTTCTACGTAAACAAGTCTCATGTCAACAAGTCTCACAGAGGCCCAGTGTACCCATAAACACTCCAAGCATGTTGTCAACTACACAGCAACCAAGAGGTCTTAGAAATGACTAAACTGAAGTGAGAAACCATGCTGTTTTTGATTTCACATTTCCTTCCATAACATATTAGTTAAATTTCCTAAAATAGTTTAACCTGATTCCAAAATCAAAGCAGAAAACCAATCCTAGAAGACTGACTGGAGCTCAAAATAGTTTAAATTCACAAGAACATAGCATAGTAGTGAGAATTCATATGCAACTATTCAATGATAAATGTCCCTGCACAATACAGCTGTAAACTTTCTTTATGAAGCTTATAATCTAAAAGCCAGAAAACGCTGAAGTTGGAAAGTTATTTCCTCTGAAACTGAAGGCAACATTTATTTGCTGTGGTTAACAGTATTAAAAGGCAGGTCCTTTATGGAGTGGTTAGGTCCTAAAAGCACCAGCCTTAGGAACAGGAGCCTACTTGAGAGAGAAAATGCCTAACAGTTGCCAGAAAGACACTAAGCCCTAATTCACGTCAGAATCACTTTGATTCCGTGCTCAAGATAAACAGGGAAAACCCTTGGCTCATGTTGGGAGTATAAGAACTGGCCCCATTCGTGCTGCACAGACCACAGCTTAACAATCTGTGTGTCCCAAGAAGCTTTGGTGACTGTTTTTGTTTGTTCCTTGGAAAAACCAAGATCATATTTACTGAATAGAATGCATGTTCCTCTTCACATTAGCTACTAAAATTTTTGAAATCAAATTTATGGCTTATTGTTGACTTTTCATCTTTACTGTCCATTTTCTACCTCTCAGCTATCATAATTAAATTTTACTCTATTTTGTTTTCTGATTATTTGGAAATACAGCAGATTGTCAATGAGCATAAACTCCGGTTCTTTCACAGCCTCACAGAGCAGGTGATAGTGATACCAGGGTTTTTGCCCTCATACCTGAGGTACTGTCACTTCCCTTCACTCTGAAGCTTCTGGGCTTTTCTACCTTGTTTGTATCCACCGGAGGTCACTAAACACATAAGCCAAACCACTAGGTACCCATTTTGCTGCCTACATGCTGCCATGGGCCCTAGGCTCCCCTGCTTCTCTTCATTGGAAGATGTACTTCATAACACACGGTTGTGGCTGCTCCTGCAAACTTTGCTTTTCCCCTGATAACCCCCCCTTTTTAAATCAATCAATCTATCTATCTATAATTTTATGTGCACTGGTGTTTTGCCATGGATATTGGATCCCCTGGAACTGGAGTTAGACTGTTATGAGCTGCCATGTGGGTGCTGGGAATTGGACCTCCTGAAGAGCAGTCTATGCTCTTTAACCACTGAGCCATCTCTCCAGTGCAGAGAACGATTCCCTTTATAACAAAAATAAGTCTTTTAAAATTTTCATATCTTGAAACTAATCCCTTCCCAAACTTATATAGCACACCTAGGGAGAAACAAGCTCTAAAATAAGCCTGGCGTTAGTGGCGCACACCTTTAATCCCAGCATTCGGGAAGCAGAGGCAGTTGAATCTCTGTGAGTTCAAGGCCAGGCCAGCCTGGTCTACAGAGCGAGTGCCAAGATATGCTACAAAGCTACACAGAGAAACCCTGTCTCGGAAAACTTTGTTGGTAAGGTGCTTGCCACTGTGCATGTAGTTCTAGGTTCTATTCTCAGTATGGAATAAACCAGCACTTAGTATTCAGGAGTTACAGGCAAGAGGATATCCAAGTTCAAGGTCATCCTTGGCTACACAGATGTTCCAGACCAGCCTAGAACACACGAGACTGTCAAAGAAAAAGAGAAAGAGAGAGAGGGAGAATGAGGGAGGGAGGGGGGGAGATGTTGGGGCTGGAGAGACTGTTCAGAAGTTTAGAGCACTTGCTGCCATTGCAGAGGACCCAGGATGATTCTCAGCAACTACATGGTAGCTCACAAGCATCTGTAACTCCAGTTCCAGAGGATCAGATGCCCTCTTCTATCCTCTGTGGGCAGCAGACATACATACACTTGCTTCACACACATACAAGCAGGTAAAATATTCACACAAATAAATACATCTTAAAATTAAAAAAAATTTTTTTTCAAGACAGGGTTTCTCTGTGTAGCCCTAGCTGTTCTGGAACTAGCTCTGTAGAACAGGCTGACCTTGAAGTCACAGAGATCCGCCTACCTCTGCCTCCCGTGTACTGGGATTAAAGATGTGTGCCAGCATTGCCCAGCTTAGATAATTTTTTTTTAAAGAAAAAAATCGTCTGTAATAGCTACCACTAAAGATTAATGATAGTGACGACTCCAGGGAGAGCTCCACACAGAGGCCACACTCCTCTTGATTCTGCTGGGACAGAGTTTCCTCACATTTATATAACTACCTCTCCATGATCCTGCTGACAGACTTGCCATATGTCTAGTTCCAAATCAGCCCGAGTTTTAGCTTACAGCAAACGTATTTCCACATAAGTACTTACGGACCATCTGGAAACTAAACAATTACTTCTAAATCTCACCTGACAATGCTTCAGAGTCCCTGAAGTAGGTCAAAGGCCTTCTAGATGACTAAGGGACCTCTGTCGAAGAGGTAGCCTTTTACCTCTCCCCCAAGGCTACCCTGTAGAGCCCATTTCTCAGAAAGCATTTTCTGAGGCTCCTCACATACATTTGTTCTGGAGCTTGGGGAGGCAACAATAATGATAATCAAGAAAATGTGGGCATGGCAGCTTAGAAACACCTTTACCTTATGCTGGTAATGGCAGGACCTTCCTGGAAATAATTCCAGGAAAGAAACTGCTTACTGTGAGTGGATCAGGCTTCAACTCACCATTGGATAATGCTTGCTGAAGCTCATTGTCTGAAATCACCCCACTTCTGTCTTTATCAACCCTACAAAAAAAAAAAAAAAAAGACCGGGTGAGTTGGTGATGAAAAATAAAGGAAAAATAAAACATCATTTCTATCAAATCTACATTAGGTCTGGAGCGTTACTCTGGCCAGACCTTTCTTTCTCTGAGGTCACATACCCCCAGGTGTGCCAGAGATTAAGGACCACTTTCTCTTAGTTCTTCAGGTCCGTCTAAATCTATACCTGCACCCGTTCATATTTTTCAGGTTAGGTAAGGATTCTCTAGGACAAATAAGTCAGTCATTCCTTGGCTACGTGTCAGTGGAGTGACAATCAGGCAATTCAGAAGGACGGCCAGCGACAAAAGACGCTGCAGTAGTAACCAGCTCTTTTTTACCGATGCTGTTTTCCTGACTCAAGATTTTTGCCCCATTCTTAAAGCAAGCACACCAGACCCTGTGGGGCGGCTGCTCCGCGCCCCTCAGCCCTGAGCCAAAGGAAGTGCCAACATGACCCTGAGCCTTGTGCCACTGAGAGGAAGCCGGGGATGCAGGGGGGTAGGGAGGGCTGCCAAGGAGGTCGGAGAGAAAGAAGGCAAGAGAGAACCGGCGAGTGGGCCCTGGAAACCGAGGACCCGCCCAAGGGCCGGAGGAGCCGGGCGGCGCCGGCCTCACCGCTGGAAGACGTTCCACAGGAAGCTCTGGTCTGGCAGCGCAGCTCCAGCAGCAGGCCCAGGGCCGGCGCCCGAGCCTGGGCGGTAGGAGTAAGCCGCCATGGGCTGATGCACAGCGGTAACGAGGACCAGCTCCAAACGCGGTGCTTCCGCCTCCGTCCCGGGCAAGACCAGGAGCCCACAACTTCCTGGGAACAACGGAAGCGCGTGCCTTTGAGTCACTCGGCAGGCGTGGTCAGTTGCCATGCAACGTCTGGAGGGCGGTGCAGCTAGTCTGGGCCCGGCCTCGTTCTCTTACTAGCGGTGTCCAGTGCCTTTCTGTCCGACCCTGCCCCGCCCTCCTTCCCAGCCTAGGTGCAGGTCTTGTCCGGAGCAGACCGCCCGGGGCCAACCCAAGCTTACACAACTACCTCGACCTGGGATGGGAAGTGGTGAAAGTTTCACTTGAGTTGATGACCTGCCGCATAGATGAGGATTGGTGCAAACGTGATGTATATCAACTGCGTGAAGTCCTTGGCGGAAACTTAAAGTGACATTTTAGGCGCCCTGGAGTGTGTCCACCCTCCCGCCTTATATCGGTTGAACCCCAGCCTCCCTGGGTTTACACAGTGACTTCATTTGTGAATGGTCCCTATAAGGTTTCATTTGTCTGTGACCTCTACCTGGACTTCTGTACTTGGTAACACTTTTGGTGCTAACTCCCATCATTCTGGATACTAATTCTATGATGTTTTGATAGTTGGAATGCCCCTGAATGGGGGGATGCACAGCACTGGGGCAACTATCAACCTGTCATGTCCACATTAACATGCTGCCAGGCCATCCTTCCACCTAGATCTGTGTGCTGTGTACAGGTCAAGATACTAACTACAGTTTTCCCAGTTCTGCCAAAGGGTTGTTCCAGCTTTCCTATTCCTCACCCAGTGAAGACTAATTATCATTATAACCGTTATGCTGTCTTTGTGGGTTTTTAGTTTACTTGCTAAGGCCGAAAAGTTCAAGGGCCAAGAATATGCCCTCGTATACCTGAAACTTGCTTCCATGTGGACAATCATCCATTATTTAGCACAGCTCTAGATCTGATTACCTCCCAACTGTATCCTTTTCTGTCCCATTTTTCTTGTTCTTGTCCATGAGATTTTCAAATTCTTCAAAGAAACTATCTCATAGCTTTGGTGTTTACTTCAAAATCTACCAAGTTCTCTAAGGTGGATATTCTTCCATGATTTAGTGAATTCTTTTTTTAAAATTTCTCATAAACTGTTCCATTCTCACTTGTTGAATAATCTTTCAGACTTTTCCAATTCTTTTATTTAGATTCTGAAATCGATCTCTGGTTCCTTTTCTCTTTTCCAGAAGTAAGAAAGTATTGAAAAGCATAGTTTTGCTACTTGATCTTGGAATTTTCTAGTACAAACTTCAGCTAGAAGCTGTTACTTCTGCAGACCTGAGGCCCCTACCTACAGAAGCCGGGACTCTACTGTTTACTGATGAGTCTCCAGCTTGGAATGAGGTAAAGGTCCAGTCCCAAGGAGATTACCTTCTCCAACAGCTTACAGACAGCTAGCTAGCTGTCTTCCAGGCACCATCATTTATCTCCTTACCCTATCTCAGATTCAGTTTCCTCCTAACTAGGCCTGTTCTAAGCTTTCCAGGAGTTGAGAATCAATGAGATAACACTGTCCTCCCCACTGTAATGTTAATCATATCCTGTGTCTGCATATTGAGCCAGTCTTTCCTTTAGCCTAATTTCTCTGAGCTACTGTGAAAGTTCTTGTTTTCCTTTAGAACTTTTCCAAACATTGCCCTTTTCTGGGAGCTGGGGAGCCTGATGCATTCTACAATGTCCACCCATGAAATGGGTGAGCCATTGTCTGTTCTATCCTTTACATAGATATTTTTGTGTATGCATGCATGTTTTTATACATATCTAACTTAGCAGTGTACCTCTAAGCCACACTGATGCCTGTGTTTACTTTCATAGGTTCATTGCAGCACTGGCCATTTGCACAGGGAAGATAAGTCCTTTTACCGTAACTTTTCCTGGGACAGAGCCACACGTGCTCAGCACATCCTTCTCTTTCTCAGATTAACGATGAAACTTCAGTCACTTGGCTCCGATACTCTTTGTATTTAGTTTGAAAGAGAACAACTAACACTTTTTATGTAACTCAGACTTCTTAGTGAGTATTGTTTTGTTTGTTTGTTTGTTTGCTTGTTTCAAGACAGGGTTTTCCTGTATAGCTTTGGAGCCTATCCTGACACTCACTCTGTAGACTAGGTTGGCCTCGAACTCACAGAGATCCACCGCCTGCCTCTGCCTCCCAAGTGCTGGGATTAAGGGCACGAGCCACTAATGCCCAGCCTTAGTGAGTATTGTTGAGTCTATCAAATGTGTGCTAGTTGGTGTGAGGACAGAAGCAAATACCCACACCTCACCATTGGCCAAGGATGGACTTGTTCTGATCTGCTTGGTCTGATAGCCACTTGCCACATGAGGCTACAGAACACTGAGATGGACCAGTGGAAATGAAGTAGTTTTAAATTTCAAGTTACTTTAATTAGTTAAAATGTAACTAGCTGCATTGCTCCTTTTTGTTTCTTTCAAGAAGCCATCACATCTGGCACCCAACTTATTTTATACATGATCTGTGTTTCATTTTGAAATTCCGAGACCTGCATTTTGAAAGATTCTGGTCCATGGCTCATTAGTGGAGTATAGACATTTACATTTGTAATCACGAGGAAGCCATCATTCAATTATGCTGCAGGTGACTCTTGCATTTTTAATTCCAGGACTAACTTTGAATACTGCTCTGACTCTAGCACTCTCACAGAGCTTTGCACATTCATTAAACCTTCTGAATGGGGCCAAGTTACTGAGTAGTCACCACTTTCTACTTGCTATCCTGTCTTTTGGTTGGACCATGTCATTCATCATTCTAGTCTTCAAATTCCCTTACATTCTACAAATGTAAATTCTTGGGTGTGACTAGAACCTTAGGAATTGCGGGTCCTGGTTGGAATGCTGCAGGCAAGGCCAATCTTCTGTTTCTCATTTCCTTTTTGTTTTTCCGAAGCAAGCAAACAAGCATACTCTTACACTGTATGAAGTATAATGCTGTGTGTGTTTCCTATACAGCACAAGCTGGGCTTAAACTTTCTTGTGTGTTTTCATTATTATGTGTCTATGTAGGTGTGCACCTGAGTGCAGGTGCCCAAGGAGAACAGAGGGGTCAGATACCCCTGGAAAAGGTAAAGTTATAAGCTACCCAATATGAGTGCTGGAGATTCAACTTTTAACCTCTGAGTCATTTCTCCAGTTCCCATGCCTCAAACATTTGACCCTCATACATTAGCCTCCAGTATACTGGGAAGACAGGCAAACACCACAACTAAGATCAAAATCTTCCTCATTCTTTCCTCTCAGCTGTAAGTACTTCCACCTTAGATGAATGCACCTATCCCTCAGCAATGAGCTGTTGTTTTTAATATTTAAAAGGCAAATTGTTTTCAGCTTTGTGATCATTTAAGACAGGTCCTCAAACTAAGATTCTAGGTTATAGGTATGTACCACCATGCCCTGCTTATCCTGTCTGAAGTCTCATCCTCCCCTCTAACTGCATCATGAAAAATATGAGCTCTACTTCCATTATCCTAAAGACTTGATTTTAAAGTTCATTTCATTTCTTAAGTAGAGCACTAGAGCTGTTGGGTCAAAGAGCAAATGCCTAAGTAGTTTTGTCAGATACTGCCAAATTCTATTCTACCATAGATGTAATGCTCTGTATCCCATTGGTTATTAACAAGAGTTCTTGCAGATCGTTACTTTGTGTGGTATGTAGGAAACAAACTCCAGGATGTTCACCAATTTTATAGGTGAGGAATTTTCTTTTCTTATTGTTTTCTAGTAACAGGGTCTTGCTATATAGACTTGGCTGGCCTCCAAGACGTGGCAATCCTTCTGCCTCAGCTTCCCAAGTGCTGGGATTTTAGGCAAGCAGTACTAAGTCTGGCTCTGAAAAATTCTTAGTGTATTTTTCTGTATTTTTTACTTTTTTTTTTAAAGTTTTGAGGTATAATGTGAGGAAAATAACAAATATAACCAGCACACAAAACTTCCCCCTTCTCCAAGTCTGAACAGAACTGCTGATCTGTTGTTACATGTTAGCTTGCAGTTTCAAGACCTCAAGTGTTATCAGTGTAAATGTTGACTTTCTACCATTGTCGGTAACACTGGGATCCATCCACGCTGCTGTGTACTCCAACAGCCCATCCTTTCTCACACTGATGAACACTGTGTGGACACAATACAACCATCTTTTCCTGCAGGTCAAAGCAACTTTCTGTGGCTACTTTTTGTAGCAAACACAAAACTAGGTCATTTTCAGTGACTAGATTTCTATCACCTTTCTTTTAGTTCTGGTCTGACAACCACAATATAAAGCTCTAGTCTCCACATAACAATGCACTATGCTAGCTTCATTTTGTTGTGATAAAACACTCTGACCAAAGCAACTTGGAGAAAGGGTTTATTTAGCTTACAACTTTTGGCTAACGTCCTTCATTTCAAGGAAGTCTTAGCAGGAACTTGAAGCAACCAGTTGCATCCACAGTGAAAAGTAGAGCAATGAATGAATGCACAAATCTTGAGTGCTCAGCTTGCACTTATACAGTCCAGGATTCACTACCTAAGGAATGGTGGTACCCACAGTAGGCTGTCTTCCCATTTCAATTAGCATAATCAAGATAATCCCTCAAAAACATGCCCAAGCAATTCTTTATTGAGACTCTCCTCCTAGGTGATGCTAGACTACGTCAAGCTGACAAAGCTAACCAGCACATAACCCCTCACATATACATGAACATATATATGTATATATGTCTTCCCACCAGGAACCTAAACGAGGCACTGGTTCTATACTTACACATTCAAAACTTTCTTCCCAATTATTAAGGGCCCCCCTACTTCTCAATTTTATTTACCATTACATCTTACATTCCCTAAAGTCTAGTTTAGTATATAGCACAAGAAACTTGGTACTTGATGCAACTGCTGGGACTAGACAGGGAAGAAAATTAATTTCCTTTTTCAGACAAATAGATATGCATAAAACCAAACACATGACTTTACTTAGAAATAAAGACTGCTCGTTTGTATTTAAGAATTATGCCGGTTTTATCACTGCACCAAAAAAGGGGGGAGGGGATGGACAAAATCTGGTGCAGCCGTCCGTCACAACAAGTACTAGCAAGCTTTGGTTAATCTATGAAGTGACTCATGAGAGTAGAATTTTAACACGACAAGTATGAGAGGAAAATCTATGTAAGCTATGATAAACAACCACATAAGCTGATCCTGTAGCTGCTAGGTTTTATCAGTAGGAACGGATAGCAGGGGGTACGGTGGCACAGTCAGCTTCATTCAAGGTCTTGTCAATGACAGGTCTGTACTCCAAAGTAACCTTAGAGAAAAGGGTCAGAGTGAATCAAAGCATGAAAATTCACAGTCATTTCTTCTGTGTCTTTTGTTATTCCTCCTACCTCATCTCCCTCTATAGTCTATTCTGACCTCCAACTCAAGTTCCTCCTGCCTTAGCCTCCTGCTATGAGGTGAACAGCTAGCTAGCTGCCTCTGTCATGACATTCTGCTTAAGTGAATGAGTCCAAGCAACCATGAACTTTCTGTAAATGGGTGAAAAAATAAACCTGTGATCCTTTATGTTATTCACATCAGGTATTTCATCACGTGATGCAAATGTACTAATAATTAGTCACCACTTCTTCCCTAACAGAGGCCTCAAACATCTATTCATTGCTCAGTACTCTTTATCTGGTACAGAAGATTAGAGAGAGCTGGCTCTAAACTAAAGGTCCCCCTGAACCACCCAGGCATTGGATTCTGTTTCCAACAAGAAACAAGACTCACATTATTCTATTTGGTGACATCTCAGATCTGTTAATAGCTGGTCTAAAACTAGGTTGTTTCCCAAACTAGTCAACTACCAAAGGCCAAATAAGAGTGGTTTGGCACATCCCTGGGCTGATGCATGCCCACATACCTTCCCAGTTTTGGTGTCCACATATGAAAGGGTGTGTTTCCTCCAGTGTTCCTCAAATGGCTTCTTCTGCTGCCCCTGGATTGGCTTGGAGTAATCATACTCATCAACTCGCACCTGAGTTAAAAATATACCTCGTCTGTCACCATAGAACATCAAAAAACACAGAGATTATTAACAGATGCACAGGAGACCAGCCCAGGAGGTAGGTGCCCTGGCAAAGAAAGGGCTTTTGGAGTCAGAAGTATAAGTATAGAACATCCATTTCTGCATATTCTCTTACAACTTTATAGACAGATATTAGAATTAAGTATCATTTATGCAATTTTTCCTTTGGCTCCATGCACTGAGATTTCCTCAACTTTTTTTTTTTAGCATTTTTAATTCAAATGGGCTTTTGTTTTGTTTTGAGACAGGGCGCACCACCACACCCATATTAATTTAGCTGTTTTCTAAGGTAGACTCAGTGCATGTGGGAATATGTTATATGAGCAAGAGGCTCTTTAAATAAAAACCAAGATCAGATACCTTGCTGTTTCTACTGAAAGCAAGTAAGGAGGAATGGTAGATAGGAGGTTCCTTACCTGTACCAGTGGGTTAAAGCACAGCCCTAGGTATACATTCCTAACTACAGCATAAGCCCGCCAAGAATCTACTTCAGCTGGGCGGTGGTGGTGCACGCCTTTAATCCCAGCACTCGGAAAGCAGACGCAGGTGAATCTCTGTAAGTTCAAGGCCAGCCTGGTCTTCAAAGAGAGTTCCAGGACAGTCTCCAAACCTACAGAGAAACCCTGTCTCAAAAACCAACAACAAAAAAGAATCTACTTCAAATCTTCAAGGCCTTATTTATCTCAGCTCCTAACAGTTAACGTTTAAGAAGCATCTAGTCTTTGGTACATATTGGGGATGTGCTTTCTCAGGTTTCTTTCCATCTACTTGACTACTGCAGGTTAAATCAATACATGTTCATAGCAAATGAAAACTTCTGCTTAGCTCACTTTCCTATTTACTCACCACCCTATAACTGTCCAGAACCAGTGTACTCATCATGGGAAGTCTTTGGTTGATGTATTCATCATGAACTTGGAGCTACACCCAAGCTTCTCCTCGTGTTTTCTACCATCATATGCAGAATTCAACATGTGTGCTCTG